AGAAATATTACCATAATTACATGTGAAGTCCATTAATAATTTTCATAATAAATGTATTTCGAATTTAATTATGGTAATACTTTTCATAATTAATACTTCTTATGTGTGCCCTTAGGACACATATTAGAAAATCTCATTAACTTTTTATCATTTTATTAGCATTTATGCAGTTAATTATATTTTATCATTTTTTAGCATTTATTTGGACAGAAACAAAATATTCTAACCAACTAAATTAGAATAAATTTCAAATTTATGGGACACAAATATCTGAAAATTTATCAATATTATTACATAAAATCATTGATATTTGAAAATTTATTTGATTTTTTCTTTATAGTATAAGTTTATAATTCGAAATTAGGAATTATTAATGTTATTTCCTTATTGGCATGGAAAAAATTAATTACCATTGTATCATTTTATTGGCATTTATTCAGTCAATGATATATTATTATTATTATTATTATTATTATTATTTAGCACTTATTTGGATGGAAACGGAATATTTTAGCCAACTAAACTAGAATAAATTTGAAATTTATGGGGTATAAATATTTGAAACTTTATCAATATTATTACATATAACCATTGATATCATGTTTTATCTTTTTATTGTACTTGAACAAACCTTTGCACTTTCACAGTTTCACTATTCCTACAAATTTGTCATCATCCTCAAAGCAAAAGTACCATTTTTGAGTCAAAGTGAGCGTTGCTTTGATGCATTGGCCTTTGGATTTAAAAGTTTAAGGTTCCATTCCCACTCTCTAGTTAAAACACAACATATACTTTATTTTTTTCTTAAAAAAGGAAAAAACAAAAAGTGAATCAATTAAAGTTTAAAACTATTAAATTTTTATTCATTTAGAAGGTGAAACAGATTGGGACCTAATATCTTTGAATAAAGCTGTACTATTTTTAACACGAATTTATGAAATATCTGCCTGGTAATTTTAAACCAATGAGGTAAATTCAAGTTTTACCCAGCACAATATATAATTCATTTAATGCTATTCATCTCTTCACATAAATGTTAAACGATATATAAACAATTCATTTAATAAAAGACGATTTATAACAAGCTATATATATATTCTTAACCTTGGCTCAATATATAGTTTTAAAAGACGATTTATAACAAGCTATATATATTCTTAACCATGGCTCAAATAAAATCATCACGATTTGTTTCATTTTTAAAAGTATATGAAATATAATATAATATATTAGCATCTTTAGTGAATATTTTTTGCACAAGATATGAAAAAGAATGAGAAACATGACGTTTGGTCAACCTAATTGCTTGGATGTCAAAGAAAACCTTATTTGATTTAGATCGATTATTTTGCAATTTAATAATTTTATCACCTTAATTTGAATTCTTGGAAATTAAGTTATTAGAATATGATTTGTTATAATGTAATAACATCTTATCCATAAACCTAAAAAACACAAAAGTTAGTTGTCACTTAAATGTTAGTTAGTTTTTTACTTTGAGAAGTAATTGAAATAATATAATAATAGTAACACATGGTTATTATCCAACGATTAATTATGAACTATTTTAAAGCATAATAGTACATATTAAAATTTGAAGGCAAAAAAAATAAAATAAAAATGGTAAATATAAGTTATAGGAATATTTTATATTTGTTGTAATAGAGGTGGGGGCCTTGTTTCTGAGCAAAGCAGCACCTGTAGCGCTTCACTTTGCCTTTGATATTGATAATGGCAAAACGCATTTGCAATGCAATGTCTTTTTCGTCCTTTTGGTAGTCAATGCATCATGCATATTCATTTTCTGCCTTTCGAATTTATATGCTATTATTCCAACAGTTGTCTCTCATTATATGCCACCAAACTTATATTTAAATCCCACAATTTTTTTTTTTTTTCTTTTCTTTTCCTTCTCATTTTCAACCATCTTACATTTTTTAAACCAAACACATGTTTTTCTTTTTTGTATTTTATAATCAATATCATATGCTGTTAGCATTTTTCTAAGTGGTTCTGGTTCATTATGAATTATTGTTAACTATATTATTATTGTTAAAAACTGTTGTAATTAATTAAAAATAGTTTATCTTATTATTATTTTGAAGCTAAAAGTCTTGAATTTGAAATAGATTATCTTTAGAATTATAATTCTTTTTGGCTAGATGATTTTTCTTATTGGGCTAGTTAAATACATGGGTGCATTGTTCATGCTTAGTCCACATGTACTTAATTAGGATCTATTTTGTGTCATCAATTTTAAATTGACAATGAAACTAAAACAATATTATTAAAACATTAGTGATGAAATAGATGTTACATAAACATTGTGTAGTAGACCTTGTAAGTGGTTCTTTCCCTTCTCTAATTACTCTGTGTTTGTTTATTCATGTTTTTGTGAACTTATTTATGTAATAATTCTTTTTATATTCAAACTTTAATATATCTATAAACAAATAAAATGACTGCAAAAAGAGTAGTGGGAGTATTTGGACTAGCGGTATAACTACTTTGGATTGAGTGGACAGATAGAGGGAGGGTCCCCATGTCCAGATCTGCATATCTGCCATGCCTACACTATAACGATAGTGTCTTATTAACTGTTGTTATTTTTCTTTTTTATTTCAATAAATATACACTTTTATTAAATCGGTGTTTAAATGTTACATCCATAATTCATGGCAAAAGAACTTGGAATAAAACTTTTATGTCTCCTTTTGATGGTCGTCTGACTGGTATTGTGTGGGTCCAAGTCTTTTTTTTTTTTTTTTTTTTTTTTGGGTCGATAAAGTTGGCTTGTAAAAAAGAAACTATGTATGTCATAAAGTAATTTATTAAGTGATGTTAATGTTCTCTAGTGAAGGTGATTGATTTAGTAAGTGATGTTAATGTAGTGTTTGGTATTCAATAATAAAGTTGAAAAGGGAAGGAGAATTATAGAAATAAAGAAAAATACATATTTGTTTGCCACATAGACATGGAATATATATAGCATGTTCTCTAGTGAATTTGATTACTTTACTAATTTTTTAGTGGGTGATCTTAAATAACCCCCACCACATTCTCATGATGTGAACCCACACACACATAATAACACTACTTGTGGCTCCTTTAGCCTTTTTATTTCATGGGATATGGGTGGTTTTTGTGTTGTTTATCAAATAGAATCATGTATATTATAGTTATAAATCAATTTTTTTATGGAATTTTCAATGAAAATCATGTGTTTAAAACTATAGAAACATTAAACTCATTAGTTTTTGTTATTTTCCAAAAAGAACTAAAGTTCTTTTTTTTAATTATAATTGTATTTTGATATTTTCCATATTTAATTTACATTAAACTTTTATAAACAAAATTCTGAAACTTTTATGTATGTAATTTTATTAGAGTTAATTATGACAAACAACTTTTTTGACTAACTTATTTAATTTTTTCATTTTTATTAACTTACCAATTCCATTAGTTTGCTCCTCTATTACTTTAAAATTGTATTCCATCATCCTAAAGAAAATCATAAAAGATTGGTACCTAGCTCAATATAAATTTAATTATCTCATTAAAAGTATTTAGAAAATAATCATAGAAAGGGAAAAAAATGCCAAACCACAATGTATGTCATGTAATCAAATATAATATTACATGATGGAACAAGTGATTAAATAAAGGTAAATTACAAATGTAGCCCTTTAGGTTCTATCATTATTGTTTAAAGTTATACCCGTAATCCATTATTAATTTCAACAAAAGTTTTTCATTTCATATATATTTATAAACCTCTACTTCTTGGGGTTGGGTAAAGTGATCACACTTTTTGATAGTTTTAAGATGTTACAAGGTATATAATTGACCATGCTTTTAACATGCATCTGTAGGATCAACTCCCAGCATCATTTACTAATTTATTCAAAAGAAATCACATAAAGAGTTCATGATAAAAGTAAAGTGTCTTTTTAGATTTATTTATGCTTTATGTGTTTATTTACTATACACATTACTTTCACCAGTACTAAAACTAAAAATCTTACACTACTATGAGATATAAACAATCTTGTTTATTTTATCTGGTTTCTACACTTAGAATTTACACTGTATATATTGTCCTATGATTTTCATTTAACAATTTTCTCTCATGCTGAAAAAATTTCATATAATCATTCTAGAAATGTTGCTTTGTTGATAACAACAAATTTATGGCTAGAGTTAACATCATAGAAAGTAAACAAAGTTTTTTTTTTTAAAAACACTGATTGAATGTTGTCTGGAATATGTGCATGTGACTTGTTATCACAGATTTTACAAGAGTAGTAATTTTGTTAAAAGTAAATTTGTAAAAAAGTTTGGGAAGCTAGAACCACTCCATTTTGAATGTGTAAATTGTGTTTTATATAAATTTAGAAATAGTGAGTGTACCTTGTATATATAGCTAACTATTTTTGGCTAAAGCAACTAAAAATGTTCCAACTTGTTACCCAGTCAAAAAAAAACAATTAGACCATAGTACAAAGGGTCAAAAGGGTAAATATCCCCCACATGATCCATCACACTTATCCTCCCTTTTTCAAAATTTTCAATTTATTAATTTGCCAAACTAATTTTGTCTTATACGGGTAAATCTTCATCTCTCCCCCTTCTTTTTAAATGAAAGTAAATGTTTTTATTCAGCTTTTTCCTGTTTGCTATCTCTGCATGTTTGCATGTCTTTTTCTGTGTTTGCCCAAACAATTTCAGAGAATAACAGCGACTGTGATGCAACTATACACATACACACACACACACACACAGAGACATATACATATATATAAACACTCACATACATCTTATCACTAAAGATTTTCATATGTAAAATCAATCTCTTTTTTCCTTTTCCTTTTCCTTTTTCCGATTCTGGTTTCCATCCTTATATCGTTTATTAACCCACTAAATTCTCGAAAGTACACGTGAAAACCGCCGTTCCATCACCTTCTAGTCCCTCATATCTCTGAATTTCTTTTTTTGTTTTTATGTTACTCACTTTTGTCTTCACCCTTTACTAGAAACACAGATTATATTTAAACAATCACATATACTTTTTGTAAATAGTTTTAGGTGAAGAATAAAGAATCAAGAATCAAGAATCAAAAATCATGCCTCAGTTGAAGCAAATTAGAGACCCCGAGGAAAAGCATATGATTTCAAAGAGAAGAAATGGAAGAAGAAAAGGGAAAGGAAAACTGTTGGAAAGAACGCCATTGATGTTGCAAGATTCAACGGCTGAGATTTCTTCTGAAAAGAAGCTCATGTTTCATCGAAGACCTGGTTTTGGTCAACTGGGTACTAAGTGTGTGGTCAAAGCAAACCATTTTCTAGCTGATTTGGTTGATAAGGATTTAACCCAATACAGTGTAAGTAAAGTAAAAATCGTCATTTCTTTTTTTATTAAAAAATTTATCTCAAAGTTTTTTTTTTTTTTTTTGTTACAGGTTAAGATGATTCCAGAAGTGAACTCTACTAAATTAAACAAAGCTATTATGAGTCAACTGGTCAAAGTCCATAGACACAAAGATTTGGGGATGAAGCTTCCTGTTTATGATGGAAGAAGAGCTCTTTACACAGCTGGAAAACTTCCATTTATATCAAAAGAATTCACAGTTACAATTATGGATGACTTGGATTGGATTGGCATTACAAAGTATGTTTGAACACATTTCTCAATATTTTTTGTAAAATAATATTTAAATTGATCATGTTTAAAAAAGATTTTCCATGTTTCCTTCTATGCTGTTTCCTATGTATACATAGGGAAAGCAACATTTTACATTTTGATATTTACATAAAATAATTGTGATGAATATTTATAGTTTTTTTTTTTTTTTTTTTTGCATAATTTCAGGGAAAGGGAATTTACAGTGACTATTGAGATTGTTGCTCATGCAAGTATGTGTCAATTACGTGAGCTTTTATCTGGAAAACAAGTTGAGTCTCCTCTAGAGGCACTCAAGATTGTTGACCTTGTTTTAAAAGAACTTACAGCTCAAAGGTATGTTTAAATTTGAATTCTTCTTTACTTCCATTTTTAATTTTGAAAACATATTTCTAAATAGGTACATATCAGTTGGGAGATTTTTCTATTCTCCTAATATTACAAATCCAAAGTCAATAGGATGTGGATTACAATCATGGAGAGGCTTCTACCAGAGTATAAAACCAACTCAAATGGGATTGTCACTAAATATTGGTACTATGATATATTTTTTTTATCTAAATGAGCTATTTTCACATTTTGTTATTATTATTAACTTTTTATTTATGGGTTTTTAATTTCAGACACATTGGCTACTACATTTATAGAACCACTCCCTGTAATAGAGTTTGTAGCTCAAATTTTGGGGAAACAAGTCTACACAAAGCAAATTTCTGATGCTGATAGGATAAAGGTATAACTGTAAATATCACAATTAAGCTTCTAATCATCTCTCTTTGATTTTCTATATATATATATATATATATATATATATATATATATATATATATATATATAGATATAGATATATAAGAACAAATTGCTATGATGAGAGTAGATTACTATTAATATTTATGAACTAGTTATGTTAATATGAAGCAGATAAAGAAAGCTCTTAGAGGTGTGAAAGTTGAAGTTACACATAGAGGGAATGTAAGAAGGAAATATCGCATATCAGGGGTGACATCACAGCCAACAAGGGAGCTAATGTGAGTTGCTTTAATTTCTCCATAATTCATTACCTTTTCTCATTTTTTTTTTCTTTTTTCTATTTTCTTGAAGGTTTCCTGTTGATGAGGAAAGGAATATGAAATCAGTTGTTGATTATTTTCGTGAAGTTTATGGATTCACAATACAACATCCCCACCTACCTTGCCTTCAAGTAGGGAATCAGAAAAAAGTAAATTACATGCCCATGGAGGTAAAAATGACCATTTTACCCTTCTTCTATAATGACCAGTTTCTAATTTCTCCCATTAGTTCTGTAGCTTTTTTTGAATTGAATGAGTCAAGGCTAAATGACCATTTTACCCTTCCCTTCAGGCTTGCAAGATCGTTGAGGGACAAAGACGCACAAAAGGACTCAACAATAAGCAGATAACTTCTTTGTTAAAATTTTCATGCCAGAGGCCTAAGGAACAAGAAAAGGAAATCCTACAGGTATGATGGAGATCTTCCCTTCTAATGTCATATGATAACTTATTTTGTAGAAAACCATATTCACTAAATTTTTGTATCTTTTCAGACAATGCATCAAAGTTGCTTTAAGGAAGATCCTTATCTAAAGGAATTTGGCATCAGCATTGACGACAAACTTACATCAGTTGATGCTCGAGTTCTTCCGGCTCCATGGGTACATGTCTATTTCTTTTAAATCATTTCACAAAATCACATATATACAATCTTTAATCTTGTAATTAATTAATCATCAGTTGAAGTACCACGACAGTGGAAAACAGAAGGAAGTTTTACCTCAAATGGGACAATGGAACATGAAAGATAAGGTAATCCACTCCACGCCCTATATTAATTATTTGTCATTTTCATTTGTTTATAATATATAATTAATATTATACTATTTTCATGACACAGAAAGTTATAAATGGAAGTGTTGTTAACTACTGGGCTTGTATCAACTTCTCAAGAACTGTTCCAGATAGTGCTGCTCAAAGCTTTTGTCATCAATTGGTCCAAATGTGCCAAGAATCTGGCATGGTATGTATATAATCAACCCAAATAATTATCTTCCATAAATTAAATATTTAAATTATATACAAAATGTTGGAAATTTCAGGAATTTAAAAGTGACAGCGTGGTTCCAGTCTACTCTGCAAGACCAGATCAGGTCAAAAAGGCATTAAAGCATGTGTATACAGCTACTGTAAATAAACTCGGAGGAAAAGAGTTGGAATTGCTTATTGCCATTCTTCCTGACAACAATGGCAGCTTATATGGTATGTAGGTTTCATACAATGGAATAGAATGGACCATTCATTTGTAATTCCATTCCATTCCTTCCAACCAACCAAACAGACAGTCAACTTGCTTGGGTTTCAGGTGATGTGAAGCGGATATGTGAAACAGATCTCGGGTTGATTTCACAATGTTGTCTTACAAAATATGTTCTAAAGATCAGCAAACAGTATCTCTCAAACGTCTCCCTAAAAATCAATGTCAAGGTCAGACATTTTTCATGAAAAAACTAGGCTTTAATTTACTCATTGAATTCTATTTTTTGATTTTAATTTTTCTTACTCAGCTGGGTGGAAGGAATACTGTGCTGTTGGATGCTTTAAGATGGAAGGTCCCTCTTGTTAGTGATATCCCAACCATAATTTTTGGAGCTGATGTCACTCATCCAGAGTCTGGAGAGGATAGCAACCCATCAATTGCTGCGGTAATTACAAAAATAACCTTTGTCTTTAAATTTTTGGGAATTTTTCTTACAACTATTTTTTTGATAAAAAAAAGGTTGTTGCTTCACAAGACTGGCCAGAAGTTACAAAATATGCTGGGCTTGTAAGTGCTCAACCTCACAGGCAAGAACTTATCCAGGACCTGTATAAAACCTGGCAAGATCCTCAACGTGGAAAAGTCAACGGAGGCATGATCAGGTGCATATTACATACTGTGTTCCACATGCATTAGATTAGGACCCTAGTCAGACAAAATGTAGTAACTCAGATATTTGAAAATGCAGGGAGCTTTTACTGTCTTTTGAGAAGGCGACAGGGAAAAAACCATTGAGGATCATATTCTACAGGTATATATAAATAAAAATTCCAAGTGGTGAAATTAAAGAAAAAAAAATCCAATCCTCTTTTCGTTTTATTTTCAGGGATGGAGTAAGTGATGGGCAGTTCTATCAGGTCCTACTCTATGAGCTTGATGCAATTCGCAAGGTTGGTTTATAAATAATTCTTTAAACACAATACCTATTGCCTCAAATAATTAATATATATATTTTTTTCAACATTCTCTAGGCTTGTGCTTCTCTTGAACCCAATTACCAACCTCCAGTCACATTCATTGTTGTCCAAAAACGCCACCACACACGCCTCTTTCCCAACAACCACAATGACAGAAAAAGCACCGACAAAAGTGGCAACATCTTACCTGGTATCCTTTTAATTTCCAAAAAATATTTAAAGATTTATCATCCACTTAAATTCCAAAATATATATATATATATATATATATAATATATATATTATATATTATATATATATATATATATATATATATATATATATATAAAAGTAGGTTGCTATGTAATTTGTAGGTACTGTTGTGGACACAAAGATTTGTCATCCAGTTGAGTTCGACTTCTATCTTTGCAGTCATGCAGGAATCCAAGTATGATATTTCTATACCTCATTTAATAAAAATAGGATTCCATAATAAAGAAATTAATAAAACTACATTCTTATTTCTCTACAGGGAACTAGCAGGCCAGCTCATTATCATGTTCTATGGGATGAGAACAATTTCACTGCTGATGAAATTCAATCTTTAACAAATAATCTTTGTTACACGTAAGAATCTCGCTTTAGAGAATTTTACACCCTTGCGATATATTAACCAATAATTTTCTTTTTTTGGCAGCTATGCGAGGTGCACACGATCGGTGTCTGTAGGTAAACATTTTGGTTTTACTATCATTACGGTTTCAGATATTTTATAATAGCATAGTATATCCTAGTTTTATGTATTTAAAATTTTAACAAAAATATAAATCTGGTGTTGCAGTGCCACCAGCATATTATGCTCATCTGGCTGCGTATCGAGCTCGTTTCTATATGGAACCGGAGGTGCACCATGAAAATGGATCTGCACACAGCATGTGCATGGTAAAAAGTGCGGGTGTTCGTCCCCTTCCTGCATTGAAAGATAAGGTGAAAAAAGTGATGTTTTATTGTTAGATAAAAGATTTGTCAAAAATGTTTTCAACGTTGAAAGTGTTAGGGTAGGTTTAGATGAATATGTTGTGTTAGTTTTGTATAGAGATGAACATGTGTATTGAATGTTTTGCTAGTGAAAATAGGTTTTGTTTCTTCATGTTCTTTGATAAATGCTATTTTGTGTTTCATTCTCTTTGATGCTTGATTTTTCTTGACATGTGTGATCTTGATTTTTCTTAGTCATTCTCTTCAACCAGATGTAAAATCACTAACAATAGTATCAAGATTAAAATTGTAGAACATGTCTTTTTCCACATATAAAGATTAATCTTTCTCCAAGGTTTAACAAACTTCATGATTTCAACCATCATATTTGGCAAAGTCATTTTGCAAGATTTGTAATATAGGAAGAAAGAACATTATAATCCATGTTAGATCCATCCTAATGAGAAGTAGTTGTAAACTTGATACAACATTTTTCAATGGGTTTGATGTTTGTTTTTATCACATAAAAATATAAAAATATTTTGGATTATATCTGTATGAGCTTATCATTTAGAACGAAGCAATTGTCATATCCACAACAAAAATGAAAAATAGACTCTTAACACACTTTTGAAAGCATATATATATATATATATATATATATATATATATATATATATATATATAATATATATATATATATATATATATATAATTGTTTTTTCCTAATAACATGGCGTTTCATTGGAAACTTAAGTTCTATACATCCATATCACGTGTGATGGTTTTAACAATACATGATCCTTTCATTTTTGTAACTCTAAATAAATTTCATATCATATGTGATGCTTTTAGCAATTTTCACGAGTTCTACTTAAGGAGAGATATGGAGGGAAAGTGAGGGATGACGAAGGAAAATCATGTTTCCGAATTCCACTAATGGAAGGGAAAGTGAGGGATGACGAGGGAAAATAAAGTTCTTTGATAAATTACAACAAAACTCAAGAAACAAGTTGTTGGCGTGAGGAAGAATCATGATGTCATTTAAATTGAATTTGATTAGTTTTAAGTATTAATGTTCTATCAAACAATCTTTCTTTATAGGAGCATCGCCAATCAACATGATTGGCACTATAATGCCTATACAATGATCCAGAAGCTTGAGATCACTTAGACTTGTGGAATGTCAAATGATCGGAGAAAGGTGCGACACAAAAATGTGGTAGTTTTTCAGTAAAACAAGAAAACATCACATTGAAAAAACATGCACAAACATCATGTCCAATGGTGTTCCAGAAATAAAATCAAGTGGGGTCCACATTAACATATTTTTCAACACAGTAACAAAAAATATTAAGTCCTAAAAAAATCAACAAATACTTACAATTAAAAGGAACATCTTTGTTCTAAAAGTTTCAATTGAATGAAAATAAGGTTTTAGAAGCTTGATATGTGGTGAGTCAAGTGGGGCCATGCACCCCTCTTGTATGCACGTAGATCTATCATTGATAATGTTTGATACTTAGGTACTGTTTGTTTTTTGTCTACAGATCTTCTTGGTCTTTTCTGTCTACGCCGCGCAGCCACGCACATACATTAGACTTCGCAGGTTGTTTGTTTTTTTGAGGTCTGTGTGTCTTGTTCTTGGTGCCTAAGTGGACCAGAGTCTTCAGATCTCTTCTAGCTTAAAAAACATATATATCTTAGATTTTTTTTTTTTTTTTTTTTTTTTTTTTTTTTTTTTTTTTTTTTTAAACTTAGATTTAATAAAACTTTACTTAAATAAACAATTTGGAATAAAAAAGAAGTTACAATACTTGACGACAAAATTATGACTTTTGTGACAAATTTATAAATAAAAATTTAATTACAATAATAGTCGTAAGAGCTATTTATATAGATATGAAAAAAATCGTAATATTGTTTTATATTTTTTGTACCAAATTTTATAAAACATTATTTAATGCAATATCATTCATTAATTGAGATTAATATCTATGGACAATTGTTAATTGATTTAATTGAAAATGTAAAATGAAAATTTTGAAAATTCATTTAAAATCCAAGTTTTTTTTCCCATCTATTTTACGTGTTCAATTCTTTTATCGTTAATTACAATGTTTAGGTATATCTTTGCGACCAAAGTTTGTTGGTTTTTATCAAATATATACGTTAATTCGTACAATTTTACTTTCATTTTTTATATAATAATACATAAAAGTCTATTTACATTTGTTAATTATCTATAATAAAGTCATAAAATTATTGAAAAACTCTTATAAGTTAAAAAAAACCAGTTTAGTTAGATTTTAATTTATTCTAGCAGCATGCATATGTTAAAAACAAATTGTCTTCTTCTTTCAGATTGCAGATGTTTGGTCCACCTCTTCTAATGCAGACGTCTGCGGATGTGGTCCGAAGACTGCAAACATTTTGATTAAAAAAAACAAACATCACCTTAAATTCACAATGGACCCGAATCAAACAAATGTTACATACCGAAGAGCTCGATGTAGATATTTGAAAATGACTTGGTATGAGAATGAATGACAAAGTTCGTGACCCGATAATCGTTGGTGTTCAACCACTTTGATAACCCAAGACTGAAGAAGGTCATTGTGAGTACACTTTAATCATGTTATCATCATATAACTTGGTCCAACCTTAGAAGAGATGCAATAAAAATATGGAATGAGAAAAAAAATACCATTTTAGTTTTTTCAAAACTGCAATACGGAGTGTCATTAACATATGACATCTAGACTACTCCATAAAAATAGGTATAAAAGTAGTTAATGTATCATAGTCTTTAGGTTGTAATTACTACACACCGACTTGGTGGAATTCAACATATAAACATAGTTGTATGCACGTCATGACAAAATGAAATTTTATGGGCATTTTACAAACGTCTAGCCGAGATGTATAGGGTCATGCCCATTGTCGGGTTAACTATTGCTCGGACAATTATCTAATATACTTAGAGTTTGAAAAAAACAAGTAGCTTTTATGAGGCGTTTATTACTAAAATGATTATTTCCCTTGAATCGCTTTGTGTATTTCATTAAATAATATGTATAATACATGATACAACAATTAGCCTAAGAAACATGAAATATAAATCATTAAACAAAAGTAAGCTAGTTTTGTTATTATCTATAATATTATCGCTAACACCCCCTGGCAAGCTGAGCGGCGGTGGATCGACACAAAGCTTGGTACGAAATCTTTCAAATAAAGGACACAGAAGACTCTTGGTGAAGATATTAGCTAGCTGAAGATGCGTGGGAATATGTTTGGTTTGAAGTTTTCTAGAAGACACCAACTCACAAAGAAAGTGATAGTCTATGTTAATATGTTTTGCCCGTTTTTGAGAAATAGGATTTTGACGAAGAAAAATGGCACTTTTACTGTCACACAAAAGAGTGGGAATGGAATCAGGGATGACATGAAGCTCAAGTAAGAGATGTGTGACCCAAATGATTTCAGATGTAGTATTTGCCATGGATCTATATTCTAATTTACAGCTGGAGTGAGAGCTTGTAGGTTGCTTTTTGGCACTCCAAGAGACCAAGTTACCACCAAGTAAAATTGAGTAACCATATGTGGAGCGACGTGTTTCAATACATCTAGCCCAGTCTCCATCGGAATAACAAAGAATGGAAGACGAGCGAGGCCGATTAAAGTGAAGCCCATAGGAGATTGTCCCTTTAACATAGTGAATAATGTGATTTACTGCTTGAAAGTGATCCACAGTTGGAGCTTGAATGAACTGACTGACCTAATTGACAGCAAATGAAATATCATGTCATGTAATTGTTAGATATTAAAGAGAGCCAACAAGGGAATGAAATAAGGTAGAATCTTGTTATTACCCTTTATAACATCTAGTTACAAGATGTGTTTGATCAAACCAATGCCCAACTGATCTATAAATTATAAACTATATATCTTTGCTTTAAGAATAAAAGATATTACCATCTTAGAATTACTCATGACAAGATCCATGAAGTAAAATACATAATCTATATTGTAGCAATTCTAATTGCAATGTCTTAAACTCAACCGACAATCTATTTTCTAAGTACTAATGAATATTGTAGCAATTCTAATTGCAATGTCTTAACCTCAATCGACAATCTACAATCAATTCATGATAGTCTTAATTCAATACTTACTTCCAAAAGTATTAACGACTATGAAATATTGAATAATTCTAATTACTTAGGAAGTATAAACATGCAAAAAGAAACACAAGAATAAATAATTGAATAAGGCAGTACGATACCAATAAATAATTCTTTAATTTTTATTCATTGACCAAATCAATTATATTTATTTTGTTACAAGTTTAAAAAAAATATCACCTAACTTTTAAAACTAATATCATCTCTTAAGCCTATGATCCTGGCATGTTGGTAGTGTTTGACTATGCTTAGAGCCTTTGTAAAAGGATTTACAACATTATCTT